ACAGCTTCATCAACCGCCAGACTGACCTCCTGTCTCCATCCTCAAGTCGCCTCCAATTGTCTTCCTGGCTGCCAAGCACAGCCACACTTCTGCCGCCCCCTCACTCTCTGTTGTACCTTCAGGCTCACATCATTTTCTGCCGTTTGACATGCTCCTTCCTTATGTGAAATCCTATGCTTTTTCAAGTCCCAGGTCAAGCATGGTGTCCCCTAGAAAGCCCTCACTGGTTTTCCTGAGAATCAAGCTGAGGGGATATTATGACTGGAGGGCGATGGCTGGTGGTGTGAGCATGTCGCCCATCGCCATCATGATGGACACTCCTCTGTACAAGGCGCTTAGAGACACCTCTTGGAGGAAGGCAGAGACACTTTAGACTAGGGTGTCTTTCCCTTTTTTAAAAAATAATTTCTATCAAATACACATGCATATACTTTTTGTTTTTTGAGTTGGAGTCTCACTTGGTCACCCAGACTGGAGTGCAGTGGCCGCTTCTGGCCACCGCAGCCTCTACCTGCTGGGCTCTGGCGATCCTTCCACCTCAGCCTTCCAAGTAGCTGGAACTACAGATGCACGCTACCACACCCGGCTCATTTTTTATTTATTGTAGAGATGAGGTCTCGCCAAGTTGCCCAGGCGGGTCTCGAACCTGCAGGCTCAGGCAATCCACTCACCTCAGCCTCCCAAAGGTGCGGGATTACAGGCTGAGTCACCGAGCCCGGCTGCACGTACGTTTATTTAAAGAGCAGTTATTGGCCAGGCACTGTGGCTCAAGCCTGTAATCCCAGCACTTGAGGAAGCTGAGGCAAGAGGATCACCTGAACTCAGGGGTTCGAGACCCGCCTGGGCAACTTGGTGAGATCTGGTCTTTACAATACATCAAAAAATTACCTGGGCATGGTAGCATACACCTGGAGTTCCAGCTACTCGGAAGGCTGAGGCGGAAGGATCACCGGAGCCCAGCAGGTCGACACTGGGCTGGCCGGGAGCGTGCATGACACTACACTCCAGCCTGGGCGACGGAGTGAAACTCTGACTCAAAAATAAACAAATAAAGAACAGCCGTTGTACAGCATTGGCTATGAAAGTGGCAGGCTTCCATGCTTCGTCTCCATGTTTTTCCCTCTCCAGAGGTAAGCACTTGAGAGTCTTTTGACTGATTCTTTTGTTGTCTCTAACAACTGTGCCGCTGTTACTCTATTTCCGTCTTTCCGCGCCAGGCCCAGTTTGTCGACTTCCCACTGAGGGGATGAGGGCTCAACTTTCTGCCCCTCCCATGCCTCCCACGCCTGCCCCTTTCCCAGTCCCCAGATTTCATTGCTCGCCCAGTTTTTGCACCCCTCGTGCCACCTGGTGGTTCCCTCTGCCTCAGGGACTGGTGCTACCAGCTACCTGGCTGTCCAAATCAGAAGTGTGAGCACCCTTCCTAACTCCTTCCGCTTTTTCTTAATCCTCCCTCCATCCATCTCCCCTCTCCAACCAGTTACTCTGGAATTCTGCCAACTCTGCCTCTGACACACCCTCTTTAAGTCACCCGGTTCTCTTTGGCATTGGTCTGTCCCCCTCAGCTCCCCCCTAGAATACTGCAATACTGCTCACCTCCCAGCTTCCTGTCATGCCACCTTCCGGTCTCTTCTTCACCTTACAGCCACAGTGAGCTTTCTTTTTATTTTACTTTAATTTTATTTTTTGGAGTGAGCTTTCTAAAACACAAATTCACTCGACCCTGGAATTCGCACGCTTAAAACTCTTGAGTGTGTTTCAAGAGAATGTTCCAGTGTCTCATCCTGCTGGGGGAGACAATATTTTCTTTCCTGTAACTTTTTGTCCTTCTGGCTCTCAGACTACACTTCCTTGCAGTAAGGTTGGGATCCTGTGAAGTGTGAGCGGAGGTGACACGTGTTACTGTGGCCCTGGCAGTTGAGGACTGTGTGTCTCCTGCATCTCTCTTCTGGGGTGGGCCGGCCTCCGTGGCCATGTTCTGGGTCCTGGAGCTACAGGGTGGAGGAGGGCTGCCCTTCCCATGCTGAACTCTCCACAAGGAAGTCTCTGCCATGAGAAGGTAGTGAGATTGGGGTCTGTGTGTGCTAGAGCAAAGCTGATCATCTGTCACAGCCCTGACCAACAGGAGGAAAATACGGGCCCTTCAGGTCTGGCCTTGCTTCTCTCCCTAACGTTCTCTTCCCTTCCTTCCCTTAAACTCTATATTCTACCTTTAATGACATGCCAGGCTCTTCCCCACTTCTGGGGCTTTGCATGTGTAGCTCTTGTTGTTTAGAATGGCTTTTTGTCACCCATCTCCTCTTTACCACTTTGCCTGTTGGATCCCAATTCAACTTTCAAGCCTCAGCTTAGATGACTCTTCCTCCAAGAAGACCTCCAAGACTCCTTCTGCCTCCTGGGTGAGAGTCCCTCCTTTGGGTCCCCTTAGAACACTGCGCCTATCTGTTATTTACCACTCTGTCTTGAAATTGCCTGTTTCCTTGTGTCTCCACCAAACTGACCCAGAAGCTCCCTGAGCACTGGAACTTTGCCCTGGTCACTGTAATCTTCTCAGGGCTAGTCAGGGTAGGTGCTCAGTCAATTTTTTGGAGTGGGTTATTGTGGGACAATTGCAGGACAATCTTAGGGGAGAAATGACCAGGAAAAGCTGCAGTTCAGATACTTTGGTTGAAACTTTCTTGGTAGTTTAAATTCCTGAGAGATAGTATTGATCTGTGGTTTGGAGAAAACTGTCTATAGGCAGACAGAGCTGGTTTGACTTCTGGCCTTTATAGCTGTGTAATGTTTAGCAAGTTACCTAGCCTCTTAAGCCTCCATTTCAGGAAATAACATAGGGTCATGACAATTCAATGAGCTATGTGTGTGTGCGTGTGTGTGTGTGTGTGTACATGTGTGTGTGTGTGTGTGTGTGTACATACACATGTATGCACTTAAAACAATGCTTGGCATACAGAAGTGTCCAATAAATATTAGAAATGCAATTAAAAATAAATATCCTAAATACAAATATGGTATCCTGAATTGGATTCTGGAATAGAAAAAAAGGGCACTGGGGAAACACTAGTGAAATACAAATAAAGTCTGGAGTTTTGTTAATAGTAGTATTCCAGACTGGGTACAGTGGTTCATGCCTGTAGTCCCAGCACTTTGGGAGGTTGAGGTGGGAGGATTGCTTGAACCCAGGAGTTTGAGACCTGCCTGGGCAACATAGTGAGACCTCGTCTCTATAAAAAAATACAAAAATTTGCTGGATGTACTGGCATGCACCTATATTCCCAGCTACTCAGGAGGCTAAAACAGAAGGATCGCTTGAGCCTAGTAGGTAGGGACTATGGTGAGCCATGATTATGCCATGGCATTGCAGCCTGAGTGACAAAGTAAGACCCTGTCTCAAAAAGCAAAAGTGGTATTCCAACATAAGTTTCTTAGCTTTGATAAATGTACCACTGTAATATAAGATAATCTTAGGGGAAACTGGGTGAGGGTATGTGGGAACTCTCTGTGCTATCTTCATAACTTTTCAGTAAGTCCAAAATTATTCCATAATAAAAATTTATTAAAATAGATGCTTCTTATAATAGATTCTCATTGTATTCCCACAATATCCCGATATGGTATAAGTATTTTAATGATTGCCATTTACAGATGAAGAAACTGAGCATACAGAAGTTAAATAACTTGCCCATGGTTACTCTTAGTTCAGATGACAAAGTTGGAATGATCGGTCAGTTGGGATTTAATGGTAAATAATAATAAACATCTATTCTGTGCAAGGCACCACCCTTTATGTTGTGTCAACAGAGAGTATTGAAGGCAGGTGGTGTCTGCCCTCAAGGTCATTATAAGTAGGAAGCCCAAGCTCACACAGTGCGAAGTGCTGAGCTGGGGCTAGAAGCCCCCTCCTGATGCAGGATCCACGCTCTCAACCCTCACACCAAACAACTGGGAGCCGGTGGTGATTAGAGTCATGTGCCATTCACCATGCAAGGACCCAGGTAAAAATTCGTGTGACTGGGGGGTTTGGGGACTGCGAGCTTCATGGGCGGGAGCTTTCATCCTGGTCTCGAACATGAGCATGTGGTCTGGTTAGAGAACAAAGGAGAAACTGGAAGGGGCGTGGGGTCCTGGGCTGAGCCTCCCCTCTCTCCTCTCCTGTTCCCTCCCTTGAGCCAGTCCTGAGCATGGGACCATGCATGTGAACACTTGGTTATTCTGTTTAGGATTTCAGGGAAAACAGCTCACAGTGCACGGCATGTGGCTTCATCAGGCAGTCTGGGGCTCAGCCATGGCTCCCTTCTTGCCAACTGTGTGGTCTTGAGCTGGTCACTTCAACTCTTCAAGCCTCAGGAGCATGAGGATATCAATGACTACCTGACCTGGTTGCTGTGTGCAATAACCTAGTGGGAAAAAATGTAGCTAAATCTAGGCACTATGCTGGGCACCTGGAAAGGGCTCACTCCTTGGTTTTGTCTAAGGTTTACATGAATAACCCTTGCTCATGTTGCTGAGTATTTATATTTCATGAAAAGGTAACAACGTGGACCTTGGAGGCTGTGCTACTTACCAGCTGGCTGACCTCAGGCAGTTGTTTAACCTGTCCAGGCCTCACATTTCCACTGTATAATAATATCAACAACATTATAGTTTTGTTGTGATGATGAGATTGCGTATAAAGATGGCTCGCAGATAGTCCATTCACGTCAGTTATCATTGTGTCTTGTGTTTTTCTCCATTTGATTTCTATTAATCTTGACTGCTCCCCATACTGTTTACTCTTTAAGGGAGACCTTAAATCTTGTATTTCTCATAGCCCTCCCTCCAGCACTTAGTTTGGAGACAGAGTAGGTGCTCACTAAACACAAGTTGACTTGCATTTGGGGTGGGCTTCTTCAGTATTTAGATGCATCTCACAACTTTTCTAGGCTTTGTTCTATCCCATCCTGCTGAGCTCAAGGAGTTGTCCTTGGGCTGGTGAAGTGGGAAGGGACCAACCTGTGAAATGGCCATTAAACATTTTATTTATTTTACTAGTAGGCTTCAATCTGTAGGCCAGCTCTAAGGTGGCTGGATGGGGAAGGCAAGAGAGAAGGCAGGGAACCTGAAAGGAGGCACATAGGATTCTGGTCTCTGGCCACTAAATAAGCTGAGGGAAGTCTTGGCCCGAATTACCCTTGGTTTGAAAAATTCGCCTGCTGACTTCCACCCTGTGCCCGGCCTCATCCTCAGCCTCGTCTTCGCTGGACTTGCGGCGGGCATTCTGGTAGAGCACAGCACACACCCCTGTGAGCCAGGCAGCCACAGTCCCTGCGGCGAAGATGCAGAAGCCGATGAGCAGCAGGATGACATAGTCTCGGAGGTCCAGGTGCGTGATGCACATGTATCGGAGGGGGTTCCCCACCCGGGTGATGGGCCACCCTGTCAGCTCGGTGGGCTCCACACACGTGGCATTTAGATCATCTACGGAGAAAAACACAGGCAGGGAGCTGAAATGGCGTTACTCCCTGGGTCCTAAGGCCAAGGGGACCTGGGGGGGGGTCTGTCTGGACCCTTGTTGCTCAGAGTGCCATCTCAGGGCTAGCAACAATGGCCTCACCTGGACCCTGTTAGAAATGCAGAATCTGGGCCCCACCCTGGCCCCCTGAATCAGAATCTGCATCTCAACAAGATCTTCAAGGGATCTACCTTGTCCCCAGGCTTTGCTGCATTCAGCTTGTAAAATGAGCTTTACTTTTTCTTTTTTTTTGGAGACGGGGCTTGCTATGTTGCCCAGGCTGGTCTCAAACTCTTGGGCTCAGGTGATTCCCCCCACCTCAGCCTCCTAAGTTGGTGGAAATATAGACGTGAGCCACTATGTCCTCAAGGAAGGAGGGACCACAGTAGGGGCTGGGGGGCTGGAAACATAGGCAGGGTTGCCAGGGAGTGTAGACATTCCCAGACCTCTACCAGTGTTCACCATCTCCCTTTCTCCTGCCCCTTTTCTCAGTACCATCTTTCCCCTTCACCTTGTCGCTTTCTCTTTACAGTGCCTGAGTCCAGCCAGGGACCACTACCATCCAAGAGCATCATGACCCACTTGGCTCAACTTGGGGAGGAGGGCAGGATTCCCTGAAAATGTCTACTGTACTCCCCGCTTTCCCCTAGAAGACAGTAGAGCTTGGAGTAAAGATAACCAGGAGGGGCAGCATTTCTGCCTCTTGAGGCGATGTTGGTGGTCACTGGCTGACCCCGGGGACATGTTGGAATCTTCAGTCCCTTGTAGCAGCTGACCCAGCACCTGGGTTACTTCTCTGAGCACTCCCCCATATCTGGCACCATGGACTTGAGTACACAACAGAAAGAAAAGTGGGCCCTGGAGCTAGACACGCTGGAGTCTCATCCAGATTCTGTCATTTGCTAATTTTGTAACCTGCGGCAGGGTACCTGATCCTCTGTCTGAATCCATTTCCTTATCTGATCAGTGCAAAGAATAATGCCCTTAGGGCAATTGAGAGAACTAGAACAGGTGAGAGGCAGGGTGTTGTGTCCTGAGCACAGCATTCTCAGAGCTCCAGCCCTGGACTTGCATTTTTCTAACTCTGTAAACTCCACTGTGTTGACACTGAGGTGTCCAAGTGGGAGACCCAGGGGAGCACACCCAGCTCACATTGAATCAACCAGCTCCAGCTCATGCTGAGTCCAGGGCTGAGAAAACCACAATCAAAGTCATAATTGCAGAGAGTATGGTAAGTCCCCTACATACAAACCTTCAACAACTTTAAAGATGCACACCTGTGTTTTTAAAGTATTATTTCTCTTCACCACGTGTCAGTATAGCCTGTTAAATACATACAGTACTGGTCAGTACTGGATCACACCTGTAATCCCAGCAATTTGGGAGGCAGAAGTGAGAGAATTGTCTGAACCCAGGAGTCTGAGACCAGTCTGGGCAATTTGGCAAGACCTTTTCTCTACAATAATTAAAAATACATCAGCCGGGCATGGTAGCACGTGCCTGTAGTCCCAACTACTTGGAAGACTGAGGTGGAAGGATCGCCTGAGCCTAGCAGGTTGAGGCTGCAGTGGCCATGAGCTTGACTGCTTTCCAGTCTGGGTGACAGAGTGAGATTCTGTCTTAAAAAAAAAGAAAGAAATACATACTGTACTACATGGCTGCTTGTGTTAGTTGGGTACCTAGGCTAACTTTGTTGGATTTAAAACAAATTAGACTTACAAACCTGCTCTTGGAATGGAACTCGCTCATATGACTTGCAAATGTTACCTCATTTAATTCTCATAGCGACCTCGATGTACATAATATTATTATTCTTTTACCAGTAAGGAATCTGAGAGGCAGGAGGTTTCATAACTTGAAGGTGCAAGATAACATGCAGGATTGAGGTGGGAGACAGAAGACAGAAAACCAGGACTGAGCTGTCTAGCTTGTTTTGCAGAAGCAGGAGACACAAACAGGGGTCGTTAGGGAGAGAAACTTTCTGTAAGCCTCAGGGCAGGAACCACCTGACTATGTATCCCAGAACGTCAGGGAAATCAGGGGCAGTCAGGGAATTCTTAATGGGAGCTAGGAGCCATGTCAGAGGGAAGAATCCAGATGTAAGTTGACGGGAGGAGGCAGCTGGGTTTGGGTGGCGAGCAGGACCCTCACCCACACCTAGCTTCTGTGTCAACACATGTACAGCGAGGTCCTTTTGTTAAGTTCAGGAGGATGGCAGAAGCGTGTCATGTTGTCTAGAGCTCTCAGAGAAAGCTGTAGACACGGGAGGAGGCCAGTGCAGGGATGCGTCCCAGTCACTGTTTGCAATGATGACAGAGGAAGGAGAGGAAGAAGCTTCTCTCTAGACTGAGTGTGGGACCGTGGCCCTCAGGATGACCCTGGCCCACCAAGGGCTCTCAGGTAGAGGGAAAGGGTTGGGGATGTGAAGGGGCAGGGACAGACCTCTTTCCAGGCAGTCTGGCTCGAGGACTCTTGGGGCCTTGCCCAAGAGGCCTAACTAAGCGTGGGACTTTGGAGGAGCACGGGAGGCTCCTGGGCCTCTATAAAGAGAGGGTCCAGGTCACCTGCTGGAGACACAAGAATGTACGTAGAAAGATGTATTTGAGAAAGGAAAATGGGATTCTGAGGGTCTGGGGTATGTCTAGAAGGGATTTACTTCATTCTATTTTTTAAAAGATTGGGCTTTCAAATAATGCTTGGGTGGTAGGGATGAGACTAAACACATATACACATTTCCCATTATGGAGCATTAGCCTTGAAAGGAGCAGTTTGGCAGTTATTTTAATGCATTGTCAGGCTGCCGGTAAGTGAGGAGTGTGGGAGGCTGTGCTGGGAGAGAGGCCTGGGTTTTTCTACACTTGAAAAACTTTCTCCCCTCTAGGCCCTGTCACTGCCCAGGTCTCGGCTTTCCTCTCCCAAGCTCCCTTTCTCTGTGGTTCCCATGTTTCCCAGCTCTGGTCCATTTCTCAAATCCTGCTGGGTCACCTTTGCCAAATACCACTCTTCCCAGGCACACCCAGGGGTCTCAGAATCCCTCTCGGACCCTGCTAGGCCTGCAGAATAACATCCAGAACCCCTGACCTTGCATTCAAAGCCTTTCCACCTGACTTCTTAGCACTGTCAGTAACCCACCTTTACTCCAGTCAAACGAAATGACACACCACTCCTGGGGATATCTCACCCTCGCTCTCGGCTGTGGCTTACTTTGGGATACTGCCTGGGCTTCTGACATCAAATACCTGAGCCCCCAGGTTTTGCTTGACCATGTTCTTCCCCTTCCCCAAGCTCTAACTGAAATGCATCTGCTCCAAGGAGAACTTCCCAGCCACCTCATCCTTGTAGCTCAGAGGACACATGTTTGTTTGAGTCTTGACTTCATTCCTGGCGTGTCCTTGTATGTTTCTTAAATGCACCTATCACATTCTTCCTTGAGCGATGGCTATTGCCTACATGTCTTATCTCCAATATCAGATGGACTTTTCACTTTTGAAGGAATATACTGGGTCTGATCATTATTGTTCTTGTTAACAAGAGTTATCTATCACACATTGACTGAATTGCATGATTTGTAAATGTCTGGGGATTTCCTAGTAATAGTTTTTACTATTGGCTTCTAGTTTAATTCTACTGTGGCCAGAAACACTCTGTATTTTCAATCCTTTAAAATTTCTCGAGCATTTGCTAAATGGCTGGACATAAGGTCAATTTTAGTAAATTTTCCACGTGATCTGAAAAAAATATACAGCAGTTCCTCCAAGTTATTTCATTCTATTACAATATTAATGAGAAAAACAAAATCAAACAAACAAAAAACCCCCAAAAAGCAAAACCCTTCCCAGCCAGGGGCACTGTCTTTGTGGAGTTTGCAAGTTCTCCCCGTGTCTGTGTGGGTTTTCTCTGGGTACTCTGGTTTCCTCCCACATCCCAAAGATGTGCATGTTAGGTGAATTGGCATGTCTACACGGTCCTAGTCTGGGTAATGTGAGTGTGAGTGTGTGTGTGAGCGGTCTTACTATGGGATGTTGTCCTGGCCAGGGCTGGTTCCTGCCTTGTGCCCTGAGCTGCTGAGATAGGTTCAAACACCCATGACTCTAAACTGAAATAATTGGGTAGTTATCTTACTTGTTTGTATGAATCTTTTAGTGTCTGTAGAGCTCACTCTTACTTCAGTGTTTAATATCAGAAGTGTTTTGGGTCTTTATTTAGAAGTTTGGTGACGTTTTTATGAATAGAAATCTGCTATAGGAACTCAACTCTATCAATTAGCCTGTGATAACATTGGTTTTGCTATACGTTGTTTTGTTTAAAGTCACAGTTTCCAAGATCCTATTAACATCATTAAGTGAGGACTTAATGTAGTCTTTGTGAGTACATTGTTCTATGTATGCCAATTAGGTTGTTGTGGTATACAGATCTATGCCCTTATTGACTTTTTATCTGTAAACATCTATTGAAAATTGCCAGTTTTTACCATGCTTCTGTCTACTCCATGTAGTTTTTATTTTCTATTTCCCTCCCTCCTTCCCTTATTCTTCCCTCTCTCCCTCCTCCCTTCCTCCCTCCTTCCCTCCCTCCCTCCCTTCTTCCTTCCTTCCCTCCCTCCTTCCTTCCTCCCTCCCTCCCTTCCTCCATTTAAAGACAGGGTCTTGTTCTGTTGCCCAGGCTGGAATGATGATAGCTCACTGCAGCCTCCAACTCCTGGCCTCAAGTGATGACCTACCTTCCTTCCTTCCTTCCTTCCTTCCTTCCTTCCTTCCTTCCTTCCTTCCTTCCTTCCTTCCTTCTTTCCTTTTCTTTCTTGAGGCGGGGTCTGTTCTGTCATCTAGGCAGCAGTGCAGTGGCATGATCACAGCTCACTGCAGCCTCAAACTGGGCTCAAGCCATCCTCCTGCCTCAGCCTCCCAAGAAGCTAAAACTACTGAGACATCACCACACCTGGCTAATTTTAATTTTGTAGTGATAGGGT